CATATTGGTCAGGCTGGTCTTGAACTCCTGACCTCGTGATCCACCTGCCTCAGCCTCCCAAAGTGCTTGGATTACAGGCGTGAGCCCCCGTGCTGGGCTAACCAACCCAATTTTCATTTCCCACTGCTGTAAAGGAAGCTGCTCAAGCTAAGGAAGGCCAGGTGTGGTGGTGCACACCTGTAATGCCAGCACTTTGGGAGGCTGAGGCAGGTGGATCACTCAAACCAAGGACCTTGAAACCAGTGAAGCAACAAAGTGAAACCTTATTTCTACCAAAAAAAAAAAAAATAATAATTAGCTGGGATTGGTGGCTGCCCCTGTGGTTCCAGCTGCTAAGAAGGCTGAGGTAGGGTTGCTTGAGCCTGAAAGGCTGAGGCTGCCGTTAGTCATGTTTGTGCCATTGCAGTCCAGCGTGGGTTACAGTGAGACTCTGTCTGATTAAAAAAAACTAAAGAGTAAGACACATTTATAGGGAGATGATTTAAAGTAAGCTAAAAAAGTATAATAGCTTATTTGAAATTGAACAAAAATAAATGAGGCAGGAATTTTGCTTTGGATGCGTACATTTTGTTTATAATACAATCTACATTACCAAGAATCCACATGCAAGTATGGATATGAAAACTGTTCTAATAATTCCACAAAATAGAATTTAAAAGGCAAAAATAAGGCACCATCTAAAGCATTGATCCCTTTAATCTTTTCTCAGTACTGTTCATTTGAGGGGGAAAAGCTTTTGTGGTGGTTTACATTTTTACTTAGCAAAATAAAACTATGAAATGTACTGTATAAAGAAGATATGACGATTTGTTCAGTGATTCTGTTCAGTGATAATTTAAGAAGGATACTGTTGAAAGCAAGAAGCTTGACTTCAAATTTTATTTCTATTTGGATTTAACCTGAAGTAATCTAAAAAGGTAGATTGGGACTCAACCGTAAGTTTTGAGGGCCTAAATCTCACATTCTTTTTTTTAAATCAGCCCTTTAATTTTAACATGGGGTAGGTTGTGATAGGTAATCAAGGTTAAGACCAGAAGTAGGAGAGTGAGTTTTGGAGGTCGGGGACAGTGGAAAGATTGGAAGAGACACTGATAATCAAGAGTTGCATATGAAATATGGTCTTACATAGAAACTTGACATTGCTGTTCTTTTTCCTTGTTGATTGCTCACAAATTCTGTTTTGAAAAAATGTAAAACTTGTGTATTAGCAGTGAATGTCCAACATAATTAACATATTACAAATAGTTCAATGATCTCTCTTTGTAAAATAATTGGTGACTATACAATAAAAACATATAGCTTTCTACACTGCCTTCATTTCTAAGTTAGTAAATGTATATTTTCCCCTCTAGGGCAAGATTGTCCATTAAAACATTTGCTCTTTGTCTAACCTCTATTTTAAAAATTGTTTAGTATTTTCTATTACATCCTTTCAGGCAAAGATACATTTCCACAAAGTTAGTGTGGTCACAGCTGGCGTACCTGTATAGTGATGGAATAATCACTTAAAATGCTAAGGTCATATTAAACGAGAAAAATAGAATGTGTTAACTTGTTTTGGGTTCTTAATGTTTTAACATGCATGTACTATGGTAGAAGATCAGTTGTTTCTCTGTGACTTATTAGGCTCACCTTTTGATTGAAAAAGTTATAAGGAAAACCAAACTAATGGTCTTGTAGCTCAAAGAAAAGGAAGTCCCTAACCAAATCCAGATTACATGAACTAGAGTGCAAAGTTATTTTCTACAATTGCATTGTTTCCTATTGAGGGAATACCAAGTGGTTTTGTTTTTCTTTTCATTTTAGAAAAATCACTTTGGCTGGGTGAGGTGCCTCACACCTCTAATCCCAGGACTTTGGGAGGCCAAGTTGGGCGGATCACAAGGTCAGGAGTTCGAGACCAGCCTGGTTAACATAGTGACACCCCTTTTCTACTAAAAATACAAAAAATTAGCTGGGGTGGGGAGGTGGTGGATGCCTATAATCCCAGCTGCTTGGGAGGCTGAGGCAGGAGAATCACTTGAACCCGGGAGGCAGAGAGCAGTCAGCTGAGACTGCCCCATTTCACTCCAGCCCAGGCAACAGTGTGAGACAACATCTCAAAAGAAAAAAAATCACTTCTAATAGAAACAAATAGCAACAGCAGCAGCAGCGGTAACTCCAGGTACAGCTGAATACCTGCATACCCTTTAACCTTATAAACAAAAATGGAGTGGGAAAAATGCTTCGAGATCAATCTAACCATAGGCCCCAATGAGCTTACTGCCTAGTGCATTCCCTAGGCTGAAAGGTAAGTCTAGGAGGCTCTTTCTGCCAGGACAATGGTGATGATGATGTGGGCAGAGACAGAAAGAGTAGTTTATAATTGTATTCTTCAATTCCTCAAGTATCTATTGTATATCGTAGACTCTGGGATAGATCATAAGAAGACAAGGTTAAAGCCACACATGGACCCTGCCCTTTTGGAGTTTACAAGCCAGAAGGAGTTATTGATCAAGTAAGTTACATTATGAGTAAAAAACTGCAAGTCTTAAGCACTAGGAAAGGGCCAGACCAATTCAGCTCAAGGTTTTACAAACAAGATTAGTTCAGTTACTAATTCAGTGAACACGAAGGACGTTACCTGGCCATTTTCAGAATATGTTTGAGATCTTGGAAAGGATTTATTTCAGTGCCTCTCCTTGTTTTGCAAAGGCGTTGTTGTTGAATTGGTGCAAAAGCACAAGGGGTAGGATTACGAAGGTTTTTCATTATCTGGAATAAACAATTTTTTTTGAAAGAAAAACTATTTAATTCTATTTCAATTATAATTATTTGCCAGTGTTGATAACAGCACAACTTCAGTCTTGGAATCAGACTGGTTACCACCACTTTGTTTCTTTTTTCATACCGATTTTCATGTATTTGCATTTTTAAAAAATCAAACTTTTTGTTTTGGGATAATTATAGATTCACACATAATTATAAGAAAAATACAGAGATCTTTCACTCATTTCCTCTAACGGTAACAGCTGTCAAAACCACAGTAAAATATTGCAATACATACTATGTCACATTGACACACTCAAGCTACAGAATAATTCCATCACCATAAGGGTCTCTCCTGTTGCCCTTTTGAAATCCCACTCACTCATTCCCTTCCTGCCTCTGCCTCCTCAACACCTGGTGACCACTAAACCATTATCAATTTCTTTTCTTTTCTTTTTTTGTTTTTTTTTTGAGACAGAGTCTCATTCTGTTGCCAGGCTGGAGTGCAATGGTGCGATCTCGGCTCACTGCAACCTCTGACTCCCTGGTTCAAGCGATTCTCCTGCCTCAGCCTCCCTAGTAGCTGGGAATTACAGGCATGTGCCTCCACGTCCAGCTCATTTTTTTGTCTTATTTATTTATTTATGACGAGGTTTCACCGTGTTGGTCAGGCTGGTCTTGAACTCCTGACCTCAGGTGATCTGCCCACCTTGGCCTCCAAAGTGCTTGGATCACAGGCGTGAGCCACCACGCCTGGCCTAACCGTTCTCCATTTCTATAGTTTTGTCATTTAAAGAATGTTATATAAATCGAATTACACAATATGTAACCTTCTGGAACTTCTTTTAAAACTCAGCATAGTTCTCCGGAGATTGATTCATGTTGCCTGTATCATCGGTCAGTTTCCTTTCTATTCCTGAGTTAGTATTCCGTGATATGGGTATACCATCGTTTGCTTAACTGTTCACCCGGTGAAGGACGGATGGTTCGTTTCTGGTTTTGGGTGACTATGAATAATGCTGCTATAAAAATTCGTGTATAGGTGTGAGACAAATACTCAGAAGAAATTGCTGGGTTATATGGTAATTACATGCTTGCTTTTTCAACATATTGCCTTACTATTTTCCAAAAAGACTGTACCATTTTGCATTCCCACTGGTAAAGTGTGAATGATTCAGTTTCTCTGCATCTTCACTAGCATTTGTATTGTTACTACTATTTATTTTAGCCATTCCTGTAGCTATGTAGTGCTATCTCTTTGTAGTAGTTTTTTTTTAATGTATTTTTTGGAGATGATGTCTCACTATCTTGCCCAGGCTGGTCTTGAACTCCTGAGCTCGGGGATCCTCTTGTGTCAGACTCCTGAGTAGGCGAGACTACAGGAAAGCACCACTGCACCTGCCTCCCTTTGTGGTTTTAATTTGTGTTTCCCTAATGCCTAATGATGTCAAACACCTTCTCATGTGCTTATTTGCAATCTGTGTAACCCATTTAGTGAGATATCTGTTCATGTCTTTTGCCCATTTTCCAAAAGAATTTTTTTAACGGTTGAATTATGACGGTTCATTATGTATTTTTAGATACTAGTCTTTTGTCAGATATGTGTTTTGTAAATATTTTCTTTCCATCTGTAGTTTATCTTTTCATTCTCTCAACAGGGTCTGGATCTTTCACAGACTGAAGTTTTAAATTTGATACAATTTTCAATTTTTTTCTCTTATAGGTAGTGATTTTGATGTGGAGTCTAAGAAGTCTTTGACTAGTGCTAGAGCCCAATTTTTTTTTCTGTTTTATAGTTTTGCATTGTACATTTATGTCTGTGATCTATTTTGAGTTAATTTTTTTTTAAATTGCATTTTAGGTTTTGGGGTACATGTGCAGAACATGCAAGACATTTGCATAGGTACACACATGGCAGTGTGTTTTGCTGCCTTTCTCCCCAGGCTATCCCTCCCCAGCTCCCCCCACCCGCTGTCCCTCCCCTCTTTCCCCCAATAGACCCCAGTGTTTGGTACTCCCTTCCCTGTGTCCATGTGTTCTAATTTTCATCACCCACCTATGAGTGAGAATATGTGGTATTTCATTTTTTGTTCTTGTGTCAGTTTGCTGAGAATGATGTTCTCCAGATTCATCCATGTCCCTACAAACGACACGAACTCATCATTTTTGATTGCTGCATAATATTCCATGGTGTATATGTGCCACATTTTCCCAATCCAGTCTATCATCGATGCGCATTTGGGTTGGTTCGTGTGTTGTATGAAAGGAGAGAAGGTTAGCACTCCCCTTGACAAGGATGGAAGAGGCTCTCGGGTCTGACAACACACATACGGTTGAGTTAATTTTTATATACGATATAGGACTTAGATTAATGCTTATTTTTTTCATCTGTGGATGTCCAATTGCTCCAGCATCTTCAGTTGTAAAGGCTCTTCCTTTTATTGAAATAATTTTGCAAGTTTGTCAAGAATCAGCTGGGCATATTTCTTGTGAGTCTGTTTCTGGGTTCTCTGTTCCATTGACGTGTATGTGTCTATTCTTCTGACAATACCACACAATCTTGATTATCTTAGCTATATAACAAGTAATGAAATTGGGTAGACTGATTACTTCTATTTTTTTTTTTCAAAATTGTTTTAGCTATATCTAGTTGTCCTGCCTGTCCACATAAACTTTAGAATATATTTATATATTTTAAAACTTTCAGGGATTTTGATTTCCCTCATGAATATAGATGTGAGACCTCAGTAATATATTAGCAAATCAAATTCAGCAATATTTTAAGAGAATTATACACCAGCACCAAGTGTGGTTTATTCCAGGGATGGAAGGCTGGTCTAACATTTGAAAATCAATCATATTAAAAGATCAAAGAGGAAAAATCACATGATCATATCAATCGATGCAGAGAAGGCAGCTGACAGAATTCAGTATCTGTTTGGAAAACTCTGCCCCTACCGCAAAAGCTCTCTCTCTCTCTCTTTCCCTCCCCCACAAAGAGGCTCCCTTATCTCTCACTTTACATACCGGCCATAGCCCTCCCGCCGCCCAGCTTCCCGCCGCCCAGCTTCCCGCCCAGCAGTTCAAACTGACCAACAGTTGCCCACCACCTCGGCTTTTGGCTTCCCCACCCCCCAGCCCTTCAGCCCCCTATAAAACAACCCTGCCCCTCTGAGCGGCGCGGCCATTTTTCCTTTTCGTCCCGGCTGGCCTGCCCGGAGGCTCTTTCCTCTCAATAAAGCCTGAACTTAAGGAATTTCCTCTAGCCTGCGGTCCGGTTTTTTCCGAACGAGCTCAGTCTGTCTTCCCGCAGAGGGTAGGTCGGACAAATGGTGCCGAAACCCGGGACGGGAGCTGAGGCTGTTGGCCCGGCCACGGCCCCCCTCCCCGACCTACCCAACACTGGCCCTGCCACCTCCACATTCCGATTAAGGTAAGCCAAGTTTTTCTTGCTTTGCCTTCCCCCGCTTCCCGTCTCCTCTTCCTATGGCACGGTGCAGTTGCTCCCTCTCCGGCGTTCCGCACGGACTCCTTGCCTAGTCTCGGCCGAGCCAAGGTAGTCTTCCATTCCGGCTCCAGGAGCCTTCCGAGGGACAGCCGCCAGACGGGGGACGCCCCTCTGACCGCTTCCCTTTCCGTACTTAATTGTACTCCGGGGAATTTGCAACGAACGGGGACGCCTTTTCGTTGCATCTGCCCATCCGCGCCGGAGAGTCTGTAGCTGCGCCTGCCATGGGAAATTCGGAGTCCAAAATACCTCTGAGCACCCCCCTTGGGTGCTTGCTGCGAATTTTACCAAATTGGGATATTCCCAAACCCTCAGAAAGAAAAAGCTTATTTTCCTGTCCCAGGTGGCTTGGCCCCAATACAAACTCAGTAACCAGTCACATTGGCCCCCGACTGGCACTTTTGATTTCAACACCCTCCGAGATCTCGACGATTTTTGTCGCCGCGCGGGCAAGGACAATGAAATTCCTTACGTCCAGGCTTTTTGGGACCTCCGTACCCACCCCAACCTATGTTCTTCCTGCTCCACCTACCAAATCCTCTTATCTCGAACCCCCCATAAATCTTCCTCCACTACCTCTCCCCCACCCTACTCCTCACCGGAGGATCTGCCTGAACATCTGTCCTCTCCTGCCAATCTCAGCAACCACTCGCCATCAACGGCACGCCCTTCCCCCACTCCCTCTGCACCTCCTACCTCAGAGGCCATGCCTCGCTCTCCCTCTACTCCCTCCGAGCCCCCTCCCTCAGAGGCTGCACTTCCTCTTGCCTCTCCGGTGGCGGCCCACACCCGCTCCCACCAGCCAGCTATCCTGGCCCCACTCCGAGAAGTAGCAGGCGCAGAAGGTTTAATCAGGGTCCATGTTCCTTTCTCACTCCAAGATCTGTCCCAAATTGAGAAATGTTTAGGATCCTTCTCAGCCGACCCATCCACCTATATTAAAGAATTCCAATACCTCACTCAAGTATAAGAAGCCCTAGTCCGGTACACTCGACTAGATCCAGCCTCCCAAAATGGGGCCACTGTATTAGCCTCCCATTTTATCTCCCAATCAGCACCCGACATAAGAAAGAAACTAAAGAAAGCAGAAGAGGGGCCAGAGACTCCCATCCAAGACCTGGTAAAAATGGCCTTTAAAGTATTCAATGCCAGGGAAGATGCGGCTGAGGCTGCCCGCCAAACTCGCATGAAGCAGAAGGCTGCCCTCCAGACCCAAGCCCTAGTGGTGGCTCTAAGGCCGGCAGGGAACCAGAAGCCCAAGGCCGAAACCCATGCCCCTCCAGGGGCATGTTTCAAATGTGGAAAGGAAGGACACTGGTCCCGAGCCTGTCCACAACCACGGCCACCAACTAAGCCTTGCCCTGTCTGTCGGCTCCCGGGACACTGGAAGTCAGACTGCCCCAGCTTCCCCAGGGTGCCGGTTCCTCAAAACAGACACACTGGCGTTACGCAGCCGGCGGTCACCCTCAGTAGGGAGGAGCCTGCTTGCCAGGAGCCGACCTCCGAGGGAGCTCCGTTCCCCAGTCTACTAGGGCTGCTAGATGACTAGCGGGGCCCTGGCTTTCCGACTCCGGTTACCCTCGCCGAGCCTAGGGTCACAAGACATGGGGGCTACCTACTCCGCACTTCCTTCTTATTCTGGCCGTCTCACTCCTTCCCAGGTCTCGGTCATGGGAATCGACGGGACCCCGAGTATCCCCTATCAAACCCCACCACTCATGTGCTCATATAACTCCACTCCCTTCACCCACTCCTTTTTAGTAATCCCCACCTGCCCAGTTCCCCTTCTGGGGTGAGACATCCTTTCAAAGCTGAAGGCCGTCATAACCTTCCCCACCGCCAGCCCACACAGCCTTTTTCTCCTAGCCCTCAATACTCTGCCTCAGAACTCCAGACCCTCCAGTCTACCCCCGGGGTACGGTTCAAGGATGACTGGGCCTTCAAGCATAACCTCCTCATCCTCCCTGAAAAGCAAAGGTACCAGATAATCCAAGACATCCATAATTCACTCCACATTGGGCCTAAAGCCTTATACCGATTCCTCAACCCACTTTTTCACCCCCACCGCCTCCTCAGTACCATACAGGAAGTCCAGTCCTCATGTACTGTCTGCGCAAAAACTAATTCCCAGGGTTCCTGTCATCCCCGGCGCCAGCTTCATCAGCTACGCAGGTTCCTACCTGGCCAAGACTGGCAAATTGATTTCACCCATATGCCAAAGCACAAACAGTACCGGTATCTGCTAACCATTGTTGACACCTTTTCAGGCTGGATTGAAGCCTCTGAGTCTGCCGGGACAGTAGCCACTCATCTCATTCAAGACATCATCCCACGCTTTGGACTCCCAGCTACCATACAGTCAGACAACGGCCTAGCCTTTATCTCCAAAGTCACTAATGCCGTTTCTACCTCTCTAGGAATTCAGTAGAAGCTACATGCCGCCTACCATCCCCAGTCCTCTGGTAAGGTAGAATGGGCCAATGGCCTAATAAAGGAGCATCTGACCAAGCTCATGCTTGAGCTCCGCCAATCCTGGGTAACCTTACTTCCTATCGCCCTCACCAGAGTAAGAGCAAGCCCCCGGGGCCCATCACAGCTTAGCCCATTTGAGCTGCTGTATGGTTGCCCCTTCCTGCTTTCAACTCCCCCACCGCCAGAGACTACTCCTCTAGACGGCTACCTCCCCTACTTTACTCAGGATTAGGAGGAGGGGCACTAGTCCACTCTCACCTGGCCATAGCCCGACTGACCTCACAACTCCAAGCGGCTATTGATGACTCTACTGAGTCTTTAGCATCACTCCAACGACAGATCACCTCAGTTGCCCAAGTTGCCTTGCAGAACCGAAGAGCCCTGGACCTGCTCACTGCTGAACGAGGAGGGACCTGTATCTTCCTACAGGAAGAGTGCTGTTACTACATCAATGAATCCGGCCTAGTAGAAACCCGAATCGAGAGCCTCCAGAAACTCAAAACTAACCTGCAGAGTCAGAAGTTCTCGGCTGAAGCCACGGCGTGGTGGTCTTCCTCTATGTATACCCTCTTGTCCCCATTGCTTGGGCCCCTAGTAGCTGTTTGCCTAATCTTACTTATTGCTCCTTGCTTTCTACAGTTCCTATAGCGGCGCTTTCAAGAACTGACTCGAGTCACCATCCACCAGATGCTGCTCCAACCCTACCCTGAACGAGTGCAAGAAACAGACCTCTCCCCGAACATCCAGGCTCCTTAGGAAAAGAAACCTCTTCAGAACCCCCCCCGTCGACCCTTGTCAGCAGGAAGTAGCCAGAGAGACAACCGACGCCCCTGACCCCCTCTTTTTCTTTTCTTTAAGGAGTCGGGAATGTTTGGAAAACTCTGCCCCTACCGCAAAAGCTCTCTCTCTCTCTCTTTCCCTCCCCCACAAAGAGGCTCCCTTATCTCTCACTTTACATACCGGCCATAGCCCTCCCGCCGCCCAGCTTCCCGCCGCCCAGCTTCCCGCCCAGCAGTTCAAACTGACCAACAGTTGCCCACCACCTCGGCTTTTGGCTTCCCCACCCCCCAGCCCTTCAGCCCCCTATAAAACAACCCTGCCCCTCTGAGCGGCGCGGCCATTTTTCCTTTTCGTCCCGGCTGGCCTGCCCGGAGGCTCTTTCCTCTCAATAAAGCCTGAACTTAAGGAATTTCCTCTAGCCTGCGGTCCGGTTTTTTTCCGAACGAGCTCAGTCTGTCTTCCCGCAGAGGGTAGGTCGGACAACTTAAGGAATTTCCTCTAGCCTGCGGTCCGGTTTTTTCCGAACAAGCTCAGTCTGTCTTCCCGCAGAGGGTAGGTCGGACAGTATCCACTCAAGGTATGAATGTTTTTAGGTTTATTCTGCTTTTGGTGCAGATTCTTTTA